AAAAAAAATTAAGACAAGTTCTTTCAAAGTTACTAAGTCCCCCTGGCTGGGCTTGAACCTGTGATCCTTCTGCTTCAGCCTCTCAGAGTGCTGGAATTACAGGTGTGTGCTATCATCCCCAGCAACATCAGAATTTTATTTAACTTTAAATTTAGCATTTTTACAGTTTATTAACCCAATCTATTTTCTGAGATTTTTTTTTATTTTCTGAGATTTTAAACTCAAGTCTTAATCTCCCTTCTTTCCTTTCTCCTTCCCTCCTTTTTTCTCTTCCTCTTGACTTTACAACAGTTGACAGTTTAAAAAACATTGTTTTGGGGGCTGCCAGTATAGCTCAGTGGTACAGTGCTTGTGTAGCACTGTAATCTCCAGCACTGCAAAACAAAAACAAAAAGGTTTTACTTTATCCCTCTAATTGTAATAATCCTAGATTGATTTAAGAAATGAGAGAGGGGTTGGAGTCCCTAGTTTGCAGAGCACAAGATTCAGGACTGAGCAGCTACATTTTGAGGTGATGGGCCACAGGAGACAGCCAGGAGGCCTTTTGTATCCCCCTTTCCCAAGAGTCTAGCTAGTCTGGTAAAGTTTGTGCACTACCCAGGCAAGCTGCAGGGTTTGCTTATGGTAACTGTGCTCAATGTCAACCAAGAAATTATCACTTTGGACTGTTGGGGGCATCTTATAGAGGCTGAAGTCCTAGAGCAAGCATGGGATTGCATCAGAACTAAATATTTCAGTTGTAGCAAAAGCTTGTTTCCTCTGTATAACTCACATATATAACTAAAACACACTGGGCCAGGGTTGTAGCTCAGTGGCACTGCGCCTGCCTGCCTGGCAAGCACAAGGTTCTGAGTTCGATCCACAGTACTGGAAAAAAACCAAAACCAAAACCAAAAATTAAAATACACTAAGGCCAGAGGAGCCTAAAGCATAGGGTTATTTGGAGAGGATGAAGTAAACACAAATTATTGGGTGTGGTGGCACAGTCAGCTCTCTGTATCCCCAGATTCCACTTCACAGATTCAACCAACTGCTGATCAAAAAATCTGGTAAAAATCCCAAAAATTTCCAAGACAATTCCTGAATTTGCCACACACTGAGCAGAGTGCTACGTGAAATTCATTTGGATGAGGTGATGTGTAGGCGTATCCTGTGATAGCATCTTGAATCTCACAGGCCTCAGTTTCTCTCCAGGACTCATTAGAACATGACTGCCTCGTGTCTCCTCCAGGTTCTATGTGGTTAGCCCTGTAATGCCTGAGTCCCTAATGAACACATTCAGAGTTTTTTCTTGTCATTATTCCTTAAACAATACAGAATGACAACGGTTTACATAGTATATACATTGTTTTAGATAGTGTAAATAACTGATTAAAGTATGTGAGGAGACAAGCATATGCTAGATGTCAATGCTACACCATTTTATATTTGGAACTTGAGCATCAAACGATTTTGGTGTCCTCAGGGGGCCCTGGAAGTATTCTGACAACACCTACACTGTTGTCTGTGGGGCATGGATGAGTGAGTGGGTAGGGAACTCATGTGTTCCACCAACCTCTTCTTAAGCTTCAGTGATGGGAGTTCCAGAAATGTACAGCTCTGAGCTGAGGAAAAAGACTGCAAGGCACCCTGAACACACAGGGACAGGTCTGGAAATGTTTTCAACTGTTACTCAAAGAATGTCAGCAAGCTCCCACCTTAGGAGTCTCTCTCCTCTTTGAGGTCCCATTTCTCCACTACCTGGCCACAACACCTACTTACCATTTAGCAGTATTTTACAAAGTTCACTCTCACACATTATCTCTTTGGAGGTGATGTAGGGAGTGGTCTGAAGAACAGACAGGGTAAATGATCACCCAATGAAGTGATGAGTGGCAGAGATAGGATTCACAATTCTCCATGTGTATTCAGGCCTTATTTCTTCTTATCAAAGCTATCTGAGTTCTTTCTGCTTGAGTCATGCATGATCATTGAAAATCCTCAACATTCATACCCACGCTTATTGTGAGACTATTCATAATAGCTAAGTTATCAGTTTAGGTGCCCATTAATGGATGATTGGATAAAGAAAAAGTGGCATATGTACACAGTGGAACATTATTCAACCATAAAAGAATGAAATCATGCTGTTTGCAGAAAAATGGATGGAACTGGAAATCATTGTGTTAAGTGCAAAAAGCCTGACTCAGAGGCAAATATTGCATGTTTTCTATCTTAAGTAGAATCTAGGGAATGAAAAGATAACATAAAAGTAGAAGCAAGATTAGTGGAGAAGTGGAGGAGGCTCAGGGGAAGAAGAAAGGGTGAATAAAAGAGTATGAATATGATCTAATTATGGTATATGCATATATGAAAATGTCACAAAGAAATCCATTATATTATTCCACTATTATGTGCCTAATAATAAATGGTTCTGGGTGCAGTGTTTTTATGCCTGTAATCCCAGCTACTTGAGAGGTTCAGGAAGGAGGATCAAAGATTCAAAGGCAGCTTGAGAATTTAGCAAATTGGAGGCCATTCTGGGCAATTAATCAAGATCCTGTCTCAAAAGAAAAAATGAAAAAGGCTAAGGATATTACACAGTAGCAAAGTGTTTGCCTAGTATATGTGAGGGCCTGGGTTCCATCCCCTCATATGGGACATGAGTGGGGAGGAAAAGAAAAAAGAAAGAAAATACTCAGCATTCATAAGACATTAACTTTTTTCTTTTTAAGTTAAATTTCATTGTGTTTTAAGAGTTTAACAATGAGAGAACATACAGATGAGAAACAAATAATTCATAATGTGACATTGGTGTGATCAATGAAACTATCAATTCTTTACTACCATGTGCCCCAGATACCAGATATGGAGTTATAGGATGTAATATTTGTGCTGGGTTTTATTCTTGCATTTGTCCAATTCTTTTCTATCTCCCTACTCCTTTTTGGAATGGAAATGTTTATCTTGTGCCATATATATAGATAGATATGTAATTTTTTCTTCTTTTCCAGTAAGCTCAAGAAGGCTACTGGCAGTGACAACTCTCGGCACCAACATGACATTCACAAAATCAGAGTACCTTAGAAATGGTTCCATTGGTGGCAAGATGGGGAAACTGAGGCCTAGAGTGCAACAGTGATTTGTTAAGGACAAATAGTTATCCATACTCTAGCCCAGGATTCCTGTCCTGCACTCTGTTTGAAACATGCACTGTGACAGTAAACCACCCAAAGGGTAACATCACCCTTGGGGAGCACAAGGGAATAGGCCCTGGAAAATGGCTAGGCTTTGGTCATAGATAATGCAAGGCCTAAAGCCCAGTCAGAAGGGAACCAACAAGGCCAAAGATCTCTCTGTTTCCAAAGACAGCAGAGGCCGGGGGAGGTCCTGTGTGTGGGGACCTGGAGTACCTAGAAGAACTCGGGTGACTTTCATCTGGTAGCCATCTTGCTCTTCTGTGATCAATGTTTGCTACTGACCAAGTTTAAAGGACCCTAGATTCCTATGAAAGTGTCTTTTTCCATGTTTTCTCTCTGCCCCAAATGCTCTTGGTTAATGCCTTTGGTAATCTCTGCCTGGCACACCTATTTTACTCCTACAGACCCAGCTAGCATCTCTTCCAGGAGACATTTCTAATTCCCCCAGGCCACATAGAGGTTCCCTCCTGGGTCATCTTGTCACCAATACACTAGGCTCCTTCTTCCCTGTCACACTGGGCGGTCATGGTCTATTCCCTTTGACTGTGTTGTAGCATGTCTTAGTGCCTGGCAGGGTGTGGGAGCTTTCACATACAGGCTGTCTCAAGCTGGGTACAATATCACCCATGGTATGCTTGAGGAGACAAGCTTGGAGAGGCAATGAGACATGTCCAACTTCCCCAGCAATAAGCTTATATTTAGTGCAGAACTGTTTGGACTTAGCCTTATACTTTCTAGAATCTTTGTCTCCATGTCCAGAATTTGGCCTGGAATTTAGTATCACAAGGGCAATAATAAATAAACACTCACCAAATCTACAGTGTTTTTGTTTCTGTGGCCAAATGGTTAGGTCTCATTTGTTCTTTTCGTAGAATCATGAAGCCTAGGGGCCATTATAGTGATCTCAGGCTACCTCACTGTCCACCCCCATCTACCTTAGAGGCTTGAATCCTCTGTAGAATATTCTTGGAAAGAAGGGCTGGGCCCTCTCTACTGGACACAGAGAGGGTGAGGATCTTGGCACAGGTCTAACAGCACCCGATGGCGTGGGGGGTGGGGCTCACACCTGGTCAGCCAAGAGCACACCCACAAAACTCTGCCCACTTCCTCTCCTCAGGAAAGCCAGGGAAGCTCAGAAAAAGACAGCTTGTCATGGGTAGATCCACGGTGCAAGGCAGTGGCTCTATCTCAGCCAGCATTCTGACCTGCAGGGGCCTGGGACTTGAGGGCCCTCTGACTCCAGGCTGTGCAAAGGTCCAGAAATGTACAAGCCAGCGGTGGGCTTCATTGTTAATGAAACTTTCTGAGCATTGTCATTGTTAATGGGAACTCTATAATACAGGTCTCACAGGTAGAGCAGTGAAGAAGATCCAAAAAAAAAAAAAAAAAAAGCAACAGGTGACGATGTCCGGCTCAGTCCTTGGCACACAGGGCACACACTAGGAAGCCAATCAGTGCTATTTACATTTGGACATTGTTTTTCTTCCTGTGTTGATCTCTGTATCTTTACCTGTGTGGTCGTTACCTGGTCCTTCTCTCTCCTGGTGCCTTTCTGTGCAACTCAGTCATGCATCTGCCTGTCAGCGGGGCGGGGGAGCAGCAACTCCCAATGCTCCCTGCACCCCTGCTGCGCAGTCCCGGGACAGGAGCAGGAGCAGGAGTTGGGCTGCAGCCACCGGAACCGCCCAGGCCCCGGACTCTACTCGAGCCCACCATGCACCAGGACCCTCCTCCCCTGCAAGCGGCCTAAGCAGGCATCGCCAACGAAATGAAATACAAGAAACAAACTCACGAAAGTTAGGAAGAGAGAAAGACACTTACCGTTTGCTGCGACCCCCAGGCTGGCGGAGCCACTTTTAACTAAGAATGAATTAGGGACAAACTCTTCTTCAGAGTCTGAGTCCGGGGTTGGCTGGGCCACACCGTTGCCTAGCAACCGCCTCTGGCTCTCATTGGCCGGAGGGGAGGGGGGCGGGGAGGGGGACTGCTCAATAGGGGTTGATGAAGCGGATGAACAATGCAAGGGCGCACCTGCGAACCACAAAGACAAACACAGACAGAAAAAATAATGAAAATTGATTTTGAGGCACACAGGGAAGGGGGAGCAAAATAAAACACGCACGGGAGGGGCTCTCCCAACACTATGCGATCTACTGCACACGTGGTCTGGGGGCGGGGCTGCTGACTCGGCTGAGAAGGTTGGTGTGAACTCCTTCAGAAGAGCTGGGAGTCTGCTCAGCTTTCAAAAGGCACCTGCCTCAGAGGCCTTGCCGGTTCTTTGAGAGATGCCCAGAAGCCAGGGATCTACTTCTGACTGGTCTACGTTACCACTCAAAACACTGCTACCCCTCTCTGAGTCTTAGAGGCCGCACTAGTAAAATGAGCGGCCAAGATGGGATGATCGCTGAGCCCTCTAAACTGCCCATTCTGTGATGTCACTGAACTGAACGATGTTCTTACTAGTGAAATTTTAATCCGACATGCCTGCAATAAGCTCTAGGCCTCATAAAAGGCAGAGCGAGCTGAAGAGAATGATCTAAGGCTTCCTTTAGCCTTTGGCAGTCTAGGATTTCAACACACCAGTGCTTTACTTTTCTAACAATCTAACATTTTATGACTCTTAAATACTGACATTCTCTGAAAACTTATGGAAAGCAAGAACCTTAGAAGTCTTGTTTGCTTCTCTGTCTGCAGAATATACCATAGTACCTGGCATATAGTTGGTATTAAAGACATATTTGTTAAATGGATTAATTCCAGGAATCTAACATACTAGGATCCTTAAGTTCTAACAGTTGAAAGTGACAGTCTACAATATTGGGACGCTAACATTCTATAAGTTCCAAAACACAGTAACTTTGACTCCAAGTTTCTATTATGGCATGGTTTTAAGGTTCCAGCTTTCCATGGCTCTACGAGCAAAGTCCCAACTCTTCAGAAGGAGGAGGCAATGGCCTAGGACAAGTCCTTTCATCTCAGACAATTTGCATTCTTGTCTGTGGCTGACCTTTCAACATGTGCAGTACATCGCCCAGTAGAGAGAGAACATAAGCACAGACATATAGAAGTATACACTACAAGACAATGCATCCGCTTGACACCAGGGGCTGTTTATTTTCTCCAACCTTGACTGATAGGAGATGTATACCATAATCATATTCATCCATCTTTTCACAGAGACTGAAACTTGGGGAGCGTAATGCAGCCCAGATGGGCCATCATAAGATTTGGCAGGGCCCTAAGTGGGAGGGGGAACAGAGAACCACTGATTGTTGGGGGCAAAGAAAAAGCTTTTTGTGGTCTGACCACATAATAGAGGCCCACTCGGTTCACAGTCACCAAATCCTGCAAGATTTTTCAAGTTCCATAACCTTAATGACAGCCCTGAGCTTTACTGTGCAGGACAATATTATATACAGTTGCTTTGTGTGCTGTTTGGAGGGTTTATTTTAGAAATTTAATAAGGCCAATTGAGACAGCAGGGATCAACCACTAAAATACAATCTTTTGGTAGCTTCTCCCTCTGTGTTTTGGTTTCTTTATCTAAAAATTTGGGCTATGATTCCTCTGTCCAAACCAGTATTCCCATTCCACGGTGAGGGAACCTTCTCTTTCCCTGGCACCACTTACTAGGCAGCACTATAGGGCTCAGCATTCCTTTCTCTGGACAATCTTGTCTTTCTTGCCTGACAATATGTTTGCCCTGCTATATTTGCAGTTATTTGTATCTGTTTTACACACAAAAATGTATAGTACATGCTTAGGGTATAGTGCACTCTTGGAGTAGGTTTTGGAGTTCAACAGAACCAGAGTTTGCTTCACAGCCTAGCCTCCTATTAGTTATATGATTTTGGAGAAATTACTTCCAGTTCCTCATTTGTAAATTATCCACTCCCTGTACCCCCCGTTTTGTAAGGTTGCTGTGAAGACTAAAGAAATCCCATGTGAGCACACAGTGTGCATGAGTGAATAGGAGCTTGGTACTCACCAAATGTTTATTAATTTGATCAAAACCACACCACCAAGAACCCCATTCATCACTCCCCTTTCACTGCAGTCCTAGTTTTGGAAAGATTTTTGTCTACCAGGCTGCATTTATTAAGTAAATATACACACATTTCCTCATCTTTTATTAAGTAAAGACATCTTTTAATCTCAAATAAGAGCTTCTGATGAGCTTGGGATAACCAGTGCCATACCAAGCTGAGTTGCTAGAATTTCAGCCCAAAGTTAAGAAACATGATATGTTGTTCCATGGTGCTTGTTTCAGCTTCTTCCTGAGTAAAGCTGTCAAGCTTTACCTAGTAAATGGTTCCAGAATGAAGTAAATTGTTCCAGCACAAGCTTCAGGGACCCTGGGTTGAACCCAGCCCTACTCCCTCCTGGGCTGCGTACTAGCCTGTTCTTCCTCCCAGCCAATCTCCCGGCCCCTCCTCAGATCTGGGTTATTCTGAATATTCATCACTAACATCCAAAGCCCCTAACAAGGAACCAGGTGCTCAGTAGGCACCAGAAGTTTCTGTAAAGTATGGATATTAGTGGGAACATGTTAATTCCCTTCCTTTCATTCATTGGCAGCTTTCACTTTCAGTGAGTGCCAAGATAGATATGCTGAATGATCTCCTAGGATGCAAGAAAATAGTAGGAAATATTTATTGCTTTAACTCACAATTTTCAAATTTCAGTGTATGTTTTTAATGTGCATAACACACAAATGCTTGAGATGCATGCACTGAAATGTGGTGCTGGGCCACTTCGATGTGTGTAGAAGCAGAGTTGGTTATACTAAGAGCAGGGGCTCTAGGTCCAGCCAGACTGCCTGCATTTGAAATCCAGGTCCACTACTTGCAGTTGACCTAGTGCAAACTATTTCACCCTTTGTGCCTTCATTTCTTCATCTTCATAATGGAGAACAGGGAGAAAAAGAGCTCCTACTCTTTTTGGGGGGCTGCTTTGGATTACAGAGGTTAAAACTAGTAATATTTGGAGAACAGAGTATAGCAGCCATTAAACACCTATAGATATTAGATGCTGTTATGCAGATATGTGCAGGTACAAAGTAGAAGGGCATTGACTTTAACTGTTCTTTTTTATTAGAGAGAATTGGATGGTTGTAAAAGTGTGGTGAACACTGCTTCATTCCAGAAATATTTCCTAAACTCTGACTGAGGCAGATGAGGAGATACAATGAGAGACACAGCTCCAAAGAGATATAGGAGGGGAGGAGAGTGTGCAGGGAGCTCTGAGCAAGACAGAAGTGAGACAGGTCAGAGTAGCAAGCAGCCCTGTGCAAAGGCAGGAGGGCTGAGAGAGGCACTGAGAAGGCTTTATGGTACCACAGAAGATGTCAATGAGGAGAGATGGTGGTGTGAGTATCCATGGCAGAGGGAGGAATACTCTGGCCCCACCACCCATCTTTGCTGGTCTCAGCTATCTTTCCACCCCCTTCTCAATGCCTCTCAAGTCTCTGGTGTCACCATTAATTTAACTTCTCACCAAATCTACTTAGACTTGCTGACACATGCTGGCTTGCTCTTACTTCCGTGGTCTCACTGCTCTCTCTTTCACCCAAGTTTGCAGAGTTGTACAGCTCTTTGCATTGAGTCTATCTGAATAGTTCTTCCCAGAGCTCAACTGTAGAACTTCTGCCTCTGAGCTTTTGCATATGCTGTTCCCTCTTCCTGAAACATTTCCTTTGCTTGCTACCATCCTGTAGGTTATGCTACACTTCACTCATCATTAGGCCTTTGCCTAATAGCACCTCCCTCAGGAAGGCCTCCTTGATGCCTTCAGCCTGGACATCACCTCTTAGAAGCAGTCTCATGAACCGCAAACTCTCTTGGCTGCAACCTTTTTCACCCTGGTGTGTTTGATTATCTGTGCCCCCCACCAGCCTGGCTGCCTTGTCTGTTATCTTATTTTCCAGTGCTCAGCCTAGTGTTGTGCAGAGGAAGTACTAATAAATATCTGTTAAGTGAGAGTACCTTGATAATAGCACAACAGTTCTGTGTGAGAGTAGTGAAACATGAATAATAGATTTAGGTTTTGAATCCTGGAAAAAGGAGACTGATCATATTAAGTGGGGGCCCAGGGATATTGTTGAGCAGAAAGGTGAGAAGTCCCTATCTGTGCTTTGGAAGGATCTACTTTTTAAACTCGAGGCATCTGCTCAGTCATCCAGATTTCCTTCCTAACTGGCCTGCCTCAGTTAGGATACTGAAAGTGCAGATGACCTGGGCTTGCACTGAGTGGGGCCCAGATGCATGCTCGTGCAGGCAAGCAGGGATGCATGATCCCTGGGGTTCAGCTGTGTCTTCCCATGTCTCCTGGTAATCTACCAGTATAGTAGATGCTCTCACTGTGTCACATCTGTGATCAGAAGAGATGGTGTGATTGGAATGAGCTTTCCTGTACTCTATTCCAACAAAAGAGGGGGACAGTGGAGGGTGGGGAAAGCCATCCAAGTTTCCCAAGAGGAGGTCTCAGTGAACCCAGCACTGGCTTCTAGTAGCTAGGGATAGAGAAAGAAGGCAGAAAAGTGAGGGAGACACCTGGATCATTGGGTTAAGGGTGCAGGCCAAACATTTGCAGAGCTTTTCTAGGAGGCCAGGCTGGACCACATGCTCAAGAACATTTCCTCACAACATCAAGATGGTAGGAAAAACTCACTCCCATTTTCTTTTCTTCCTAAAAACAGGGCTTAGGGACAAAAGAAAGATAAGAGAAACTATGTAGCTCAAGGTAACAATAAATGATGCCATCCTGTATAATCTGGAGCACAGTTTTCTTGTCCTGGGGTCTACTTTGTCTAGAATTCCCTTGGAAGAAATTCTTGACACTTGGGAACGACCCAGGCTTTGTGGGAGGGATTTGGGCTCGGGGTCCCAGGTCACAGAACTTTATTTCCAGTACAAAGGACCATTCTGTGGAGCAGCCCAGCTCTTCCCTGGCCTACACAGACTTCATGTCTCTCAAATTAGCATCTCACAGTGGCACAGCCCGGAAACTCTAGGAATGAAGACCCTGATCCT